TCTACTCATCAACGCCTATATAAAGGTTCAATCAATTCATTTGCAAAGTGGCGAACAACCAAAAATCATTACAAGAAAATACTACAAGAACAAGAACAGTAAAGCATCCAAAATCAAACACAAGAGTTGTTGCTCATATTTGTGTTGATATTATTATTTGTTCAAACACAAGAGTGATTGACCATCACTTCCCTTGGGGCATGAACTTCCCTTGGTATGTCTTGTTCGATCCTAGGTTATTCGATTCTTTGTTGTTTGTTAAATTCTTTAATATTCTGCATAACTAGTTGCGCTTAGTTAACTGTTTAATTTTCTTCAAAAACCACACCACAAATTTCTCTTATCCATTCTTGGTGGGGATGTTGAACCTGGGTTTGAGGGGTGCCAAAGAAGTCCGCAATTCACGCCATCTGCGCTGCCAACTACTGATTTGTCTGTGCATTTTGTTGGTTGGTTTGGGTAGCATTTTCGATTAATGGGTTAAAAATTGTACTCATTTATTGGGATAAAATATCAACCATTTCATGATTGCTATCATCCATTTGTTTTCGAAATGCCACTGCAGAATTCGATGTGAAGGTAGGTAATTGGGAAGCGAATCCTGGGGCGGGACATTTCGACCCATATTATTATTTCCTGATCCTGATCCTTGTAATGGTGAAAAGATAAATACCCTTGGGTCAAGAAATGTTGATGTACTATTGTTTAGGCTTGGCATCATTATTGTTGGCATACCATAAATTTATTTGTGGCTATCCATTGGCATTGTGAATCCAGACACAAAATGTATGAAATTGTTCGTCCCATGTGGTCTTGGGGTCACTGGGAGACCCCGTGTGTGTACTGGGGATAGAACTGGACTATTGTAAGTATTTGTCGATATTCCCATTGTATTCACTTAACGGGTATCAATTTGGTTGCATATAAAGCATCAGTATTTTACCCTGTCGAAGGGGGTGGTTGTTCTCCATTGTTGCTGGTTGGGTTAACCATATTTCTAGTGTATTTCCTTTTTGGTATTGGTTTGCTAGTTTTGCCTAGTTTACCACTCCTTAATCTCATGTAACAAAGTTAAATAAATAGATTGAAACGAAATAAAAATTTTGTGATACAAACTTAGACATTGGTACCACCAGGTGTGCCAATTTGTTTACTTTGGAATTTGGTAAACAGTCGTTAGTCTTCCATAATAAAATTATTGTTTGATTACTTACAGGATCGACTAGATTGATCCTAGGACATGTGCTAAATTTTATGTTACTATAGTTTCTCGAATAGTCATCTTATTGAAAGGTAATTGTTTATTTGAAAAGAAATTGCTAAAACTATGTAAAATGGTATGAAAAGTAAAGTAATTCCACTTAAATGTAAAGGAAACGAAAAGAACTTTTGTAAAAAGTAAATTAACAATTATATAAAATATGGTGATTCATATGTACATTCTCAGAAAACTCTTTTCTTAGTAAGTTGGTACTTTGAGTAATATTTGAGTGTTTGTACATAATTGAACACCCAAATCCTATCACTAAGATTTTAATTTATACTAATTAGACCATAGCGGTCTTGCCCTAAAACAATGTCATGTTCGACGCTTGCATGTCCTTCGAAACTCTGGGCTTCTACATGTCTTTTTGGATATGATCAAACCATTTGAATTTCAAAATTCATTCTCTTTGAAGCGCCAAACCATCAGCGTAACGTGTCAAAATATTCAAATTCGAAACTTCAAATAACTTAAGTCCATCTACTTCACGAAATAAAACCTTCGCCACTTCTGAATAAGATTAAACCACCTATGAGTTTATTAGTCTAAATCTTCCATGAAATATTCTCATATTCTCCTTAGAGCTAGCTTTTCCTTCGACATTCTTTATTTTTTCCATCATTTTAGGTCGTCGAAATTTCAGCTAGCACAGAGAGAGGTATATTTATTTTCTTTTACAATACATATATTGTCAACTATTTAATCTATATTGATGCTTCTGTTTTCTTTTTACAGGAGCGTGATTGTTTGAAAAATGATTAACCATGGCAGGAAGATACTGGTGTTGCCACAACCCACTGATGTTTAGTTCGGTGATCTTATTCTCTATTTTAGTATTGTCGATTTATGTTATTCTACGAACGTGGTCATAAATCACGACATGCAGACGAATTTTGCAGAGAGGTGGCACTCAGAGACGTCATATTTCCACCTACCTATAGGCGAGATGACCATCACTTTGGATGACGTCTCATGCCTTCTGCATCTTCCCATCATGGAGAGATTACTGAACTACAGGAGGATTGGTCGAGAGAAAGGTGTCAACTTGATAGTCATCCATTTGGGGGTTGTCCCTGGTAAAGCGGCAAAGCAAACATCTCGCTTTAGAGATGCTCATGCACGGTATAACGTTTTGGAAAAGTTTTATAAAGAACATGTGAAAGGGGGTTTGGATGCCGTTGGTAATGATGTGCAGGTTGAGTACCACCGACATTATGCATTGAAGTGTTACCTATTGTTCTTGGTTGGCACATCTATGTCTATGGGGAAAAAATGCAACATGTGTCGATGGAGTCTACCTCAAATACTTCACAGACCTAATTGCGATTCATGAGTACAACTGGAGGGCCACCTGTTTAGTCTACTTATACTTGAAGTTAGACGAGAATTTTTTTTGAAAGACAAAGCAGAGGAAGAGGTCCATTATTTTCCTAAGTTGTTAATTAAGAGAGGTAAAGGTATCAGTTATCTAGTCAACTAATAAATGATGAGATTTGCGATCTCTCGGATAGTAATGCTCACCAGCAAAATACTGCAAAGGTCTCCTTTTGTTCTTGATGCCTAAATCAGACAAGTTGTCATCAATCTGTACACTTGAAAAAGAAAAATGATTGTTTAGTCTTAAGTATCAAAAGCTAACCAAAAGAAAGAAACTCACCTGTGAGAATGTTGCTTCAGAAAATCATTAAATCCCGTCATGAAAGTAAAACTTAAAACCACTATAGTTGTTGGTCACAAACCTCAAAGTGCCATTTATTGCACTTTAGGTTTAGAGATATGTAACAATTCCTTTATTTACAATAAGTGGTAAACGTTGTAGATACATGAAAAGCATCATAATGTTCACAACTATACATTTCTTCATTAAAAAATAATTATGCATCATCTTTGATAACACATAACCTGAATATTGTTCATCACTATCATCATGCAATATAAACCAAAATCTAAAAAAACCGCAACCCATCAAAACATACAAAGAAGAATTTCACCATTCACAGTCAATATTCACATTGAAATTTCTAATTAACAGTAAACATCAAGCTTCACTGTAAATATATAAAAACTGATAATCAACTACTTATCCTTAGCTTGTAACTTCCAAAATAAATAAGTACAAAAAACTAAAATTGAAAAAAAAAACATGAGAAAGAAATTCACACTCCATGATCAAACCTTCACATGATAATTGAAATACTCAAATTCGATTGAATTAAACATCTAATAGCAGGAAAAAAAAGCATTTTATTTGGTGAATTAGGTTTCAGGAATAAAAAACAAATAACGAAGGAAATCAACAAGCATCCACGAAAAACAATATATGATTTCTCGAAATTGATTGTGTGGTGAATAATCAAATTGTTACATGAAAGATTCGACGAGAAGTTTGAGAATCCCGCCGCCGGCAAAGCGGAGTTGATTGGTTTGTGGGAGTGAACGGTGACGAACGGGTGCGGCTAGCACCCTCTATTGGTTATGGAGGAAATAGCCACTTCATATCCTGATGCGCTACAGTCTTTTCTTATGTTTTTTTAAGGAAAATGGTTGCAAACAACAATAGGATGAGACTCGGTCGTGAAACCATAACCGCGTATACTGAGGATTATCCACATGCTTGTCGATATCGCCCACGCAGAAGAAATAATGTTGTGTTACCATTCCGTGTATATTGTTTGGACTCAACATGATGACATCGATTGAATGTCATACACTTCTCATTAGAATAGAATTTCATTCGATCATATTTCATTATATTCTGGATGGCTGGCATATGGAGTAGTATAATGTGCAGGTATCTTCCAGAGCGGTGCATGTGACAGTTTGGGTACGTGCAGATCATTCCAAAGTCCTCCTTCCAGGCTCTTCCTGAGAGAATTGTCCGCAAACAACTAGAGGACATTCTGGCAGATTTTGAGAGTCATTTGGTACCGTAGGAGTATCAGATGACATTTAGGTCGTTAATGTGTTGATCTATCAAAACATTATATAGATGACATTCATGTCGTTGATGTGTTGTCGATCTGTCAGAATATTAAGTGATGATAGGAGAGCGCATAGAATCTGGGCTGTTTGAGAGGAGTGGTAAAGAAGCAATTATCCTAGCACGTTCCATTCATACCGAGACACAGAATGCTTTGGGTTATCATAGGCAGAGGAGGAGTCGGGGTGTTAAGATTAGGCATACTCAGTAGATTAGGCATTTGATTGTATTTTGGTATATTTTTCCATACTTTGAGAACAATATAATCATATTTGATAATATTCGGTATTAACAAAATGAACTAAAATACAATCAACATAAGTCTTTCCTCAAAGAGAATGAAACATGAAGGATATAGTAGACAAGGAAGAAAAGCATGAGACATACGACAGACCCTTATATATTATCCAAAAAATCAGTTGAAGATTGCGATCAAAAGAAAGAAAATCGTAATTGTTGAGTGTGGTTACTCGATTTCATAGTCAAAAAAGTAGTAAAATGGCTGGCACTGCCCATTTTGTACAAAAAGGATAGATGTAAACAGAATCAAAACAAAAAGTACACAGAGGGGCGGAGATGAAGATGCCATGTATAGTCCATTATTTCCTTCCATTTGACTTTAGGGAAGTAGATGACGCCCTTGGTTTAAGCTGGTTGGAGAAACTCGGAGAAGTTCCAACTTCATGAAGTTAATTAACACCAATGATGGTAATAGTCATGAAACTAATAACTATGAAGGAAGCTTCCATATCCAAGTCACAGGCCTCCTTGTTCAAGATTTAACTCATTGTGCTCCATCTTTTCTTTTAATTCCAGCCCAGTTCCCTATCATGAAACGATAAAGCACCAAATCAATGTTATATATTTGGTTAACCTAGTTTTCAAGTAATCAGACTAAAATGTCTAGGAAAGACGAGATTCAAAAACAATGAGAAACAGTAAACATGATTAGTGCATATCATTGCCAAGTAGCAATACAATAACACAGCCATGTAGAAGTATAAGGCAAACAAATGCATTTTATCCATACCTTTTCTGCAGAACTTTTCTTCATAAATCCCCAGACGCACAACTCGTTCAATAACCCCAAAGCCTCCTCAGTGAATCCTTCATAAGCAATGCCTTCAATAAGAATTGTATACGTACCTTCATTAGGTGTGCATCCACTTGCTACCATATGAGCCAGAAGATCAATAGCACGGCTAGTTTGACGTGCCTTACAAAGTCCCAACATGATTGAGTTGTAATTGACAGCACCGGCCCTAATACCTAATCTTTCCAAGTCATGGAAAATTTTGATAGCACCGTCAACCTTTCCCTCGCGGATAAATCCCCCAATCAGCGAAGTGTATGTAATTGCACCGGGTTTAAGACCTTTCCGACACATCTCATCCAAGAGTTTCACAGCACGCTCTGTTGCCCCCATCTTCAAAAGCCCGTCAATAACTGTATTATAAGTAATTGCAACCGGAGAGCATCCTTTGCTACTCAATTTATTCAACAACTCAACAGCATCTTCCACCTTCCCGTCTTTGCATAAAGCAGTAAGCAAAGTATTATAGTTCACAATATCCGGGTAACAACCTTTAGACACCATTACATTCAAATACTCAATTGCTTTATCCATCTTCTTTTCTAGACAAAATCCATGAAGCAATGGATTGTAACTCAAGGAATTAGGAGTACAACCATAGTTTGGCATCTTCTCCAAGATATCCATTGCCCTACTGAGCAATCCTTTCCGACACAAAAAGTTAATCAAGATATTGAAAGTAACAACACTAGGAGAACAACCCTTACGAAGCATGTCAGCCAATAAGCTCTCTGCATCCTTCCATCTTTCAGTACCACACAAGCTACGCAAAACAATATTATGCGTAATCACATTCGGTTCACAACCATAGGATGACATGTTATTCAAAAACCTAATCGCTTCATCCAACTTACCTTCCTTGCAAATACCATTGATAAGAACATTGAAAGTAACCACATCTGGTTTACAACTTCTAATCCTCATCTCATCCAATAACTTCATCGCTTCACGAACTCCACTCTCTTTACAAGTCACTTCTATCAATATATTGTATGTAATCACATCCGGATAACATTCTCTTTGCACTTGCCTATCATAAACATCCATAGCTTGCTTCAATTTACCTCTATCACACAAACTACGCAAAATCGTATTGTAAGTAACCACATCAGGCGAAACACTCATCCGTTCAAGAAACTCCAAAGCTTTCTCTATCTCCCCCGATTTGCATAAACCGCTAATCAAAATATTGTAGGCTAAAACATCCGGAACAGCACCAGAATCTTCCAGAATTTTCATAACCCGTGTAGCTTTCATAGTTTTACCAGTCTTGCAAAACTGGCGAATGAGGCTCGTGCACGCAATGACATCCGGAATATCTCCTTTGTAACTAACACTCTCTAGAAAGCTTAAAGCTCGTTCTAATTTGCCGATTTTAACCAATTTCCGAAGATGATTAGTGCTGTCTAACTCCTCTAGATTTCTTGAACCACTATTATGGGACGATTCTATAACACCATTGGAATTATACACATTAGGGTTTTTATCAATATGTTGTGATTTACCATTCAAACCAGAAGTTTCGAATTTGGAAACAGCATAAACAGTTCTAACATATTTGTTAGAACCTGTACTACATTTCAGCTTTGTAACATTCCCAACGGATAGAACGAGAGGTTTTCTTCGGAAGAATGTTAATCTAGAACCTTCTTTGTGAGAGTGGTGAAGTGAGTAAAACTGTTGAGTAGGTATAACCAAATCCATTGTTTTCATCGTAATAATTGCTTCTTTAACAAGTGAGTATGAGAAGGATTTGACTTACTTGAGAAAGAGTAGTGAAGTTGTGCACGAGTTTGTGTTTGCGAGAGAAAAGAACGTTATCCGGACTATAAAACCGTTGTTTCTTGGTTTCGGCAGAAAAATGTGTTTGTGTTTTTTTTTTTTTCTGTTAAAATAGTTTCGAAGAGAAGGTGGACTGGGTTTCGGATTGGATGGGTTTGTCATTGTAGATTTTTGCCTATGTCTGCAGCCATCTCATTTAATGGTCAAGAGAACCGGAAAGATCCAAATCCAGCAACTAAAGGGTAAACAAATTTATTTTACTTTTTGAAATTTTCTTTTGAGAAAAGTAGAAAGTAAATCAAACAAAATAGAAAAGTAGAGAATTTAAGATTTTTAGAGTGGGGTTATTTATTTAGTTCTAAAATAGAGAATTTGAATCCTTGATTTTTTTTAATGAATTGATATGGTAAAATTTTAATTCAGAGTCGAATTTCTAGAAAACTGAGTTTTTTACGTTATATCGCGTAAATGTCAGAGATGCATAAACGCAAGGTCTAAAATACCGAAATTATTTAGTTATATTTTATTTTGCTATAAAATATATCAATTCTTACATTTCACTATTATAATTAGAAATTTAATTATTACATTCATTGTTTAATTTCATATCATAAATTTACTTTAATATTTAGTTTTCAATTATAAATTTAAGATATTATTTATTAATAATAATTCAATTTAATTATATTATAATTATATTATAAATAAATATCTTTTCAAAATAAAATTAAAGAAAATTTGAGATATTGGATTATTTCGGATATGCATATTTGAAATCTATTTGAAAATAAAAAATAAGAATTCGTTCGGATATACATATCTGAAATAATCAAATATCCCAAATTCATAAAGTGGATTCGAAAATATATTTTTAAATGATATTTTTGGATTTTCGATAGTGGAAATCACCATTACTAAATGTAAAAAAAAATTCTCTTTATTTTTATGTAGCACCAACTTCGAGAGAGGATTCTCTCCGATGACTTCACCTCCAGTGATTGTCAGCCACTAACTAAGGAGAGAACAGCAAAAAAAAAATTAAAAACCAAAATATGGTTGATGAAAATTGAATGGTGATGATTAACACTTTTGTCTTTCTAGTAAAATAATTCACGAGACACAATCCTTTTCCACCGAATTCACATGATTTAAATAATCTCAAATTGATTTAAAAAGTTTTTATTTTAAAGGTGATTGTTTATAAAGAACTAAAACTTAACTCATGTTTATATTAATTTATTTAAAATTAGTTTTAATTTTAATATAAAATTAATTTAACTATTATAATTAAAAGTCTTAATATTCTTTTTCGTCCCAAATTTTTAGGAGAAGGTTCATTTCGGTCCTTTAATTTTAAAAACGATCATTTTGGTCCCTCAATTATTCAAATACAGTCACGTTTGTCCTTGCCTTCACAGACGTTAGTCAAAGCCCGATTAAATGCACAGATGGCGCATACGTGAATTATTATTACGTAACATGTTATTGGTAAAGCATAAATTGCATAAATACGTTAGTCAAAGTGTTCACCTCACAAACACTTATACCTCACAAAGTATCTGAAGAAGAACGACGAACGATGGAAATTGTGAAGAACAGTGATGAACAAAAACACCTAATTTATAAATCAGAAAGAGAGAGATGAGTATTCTGGTAACATAATCTCCCCTCTTCGATTTACTATTATTCTCGTTTTTCACTTTTCGCCCATTTCTAATTTAGGATTTTTTTTGGGTTTTCATTTTTTTGCCCATTTATGTCTTAGATTTTGAATGCTGATGTGTGGTTGTTAACGTATTATATTTATTTTAGGGTATAAAGTTAGTTTTAAGGTTTTCTCAATGATTTAGGGTTTTGTGTTGGTTCTGATTCTAGATGTTTTATTTTTAGGCAAAATATGGATGAATTTGTTTATGTAATTATACACCATGGAGGTTCATTTATAGATGATGAGTTGTCTAGTTATGAAATATTAGTTTCAGAGGGGAGATGTGATGTAGATAAGTGGATATTTTTTAGGTGTTGGTGATAATTAAAGTCCTGGGATATAAGGAAGTTGGTGTAATAACCGGCTTTAAAATGAGAGTCGTCACTCTTAACTTTTATCTTTAGGAAGAGAATATAACAGATAACTCTAATTTGGTCAGAGATTCTAAGTTGTTGATTCGTTTTCAGACGAAGAGAAAGTATTAGGCACCTCTCATCTACCTTGTTCACAAGGGTACAAGGGTTTAGAATTGCAATTTTTAGGAAATAAGGTTTTAATTTTTAGGAAAAATATTCGTTTTGGTCCCTTAACTATATCTTTGGGTTCAGATTGGTCCCTTAATTTTTTTCTTGTCACTTTGGTCCCTTAACTTCCAAAACATTTCATTTTAGTCCTTTTTATCAAATTACGACAAATTTAGTGATCGATTTCTAGGTTTTTCAGTCGCTAATTAGACAAAAAGGACTAAAATGAATCATTTTGGAAGTTAAGGGACCAAAGTGACATGAAAAAAATTAAGGGACCAATATGAACCCAAGGGTATAGTTAAGGAACCAAAATGAGTATTTTGCCTAATTTTTATTAGGGGAACTCGTCACGATTTTAGTTGTATGCCTATGTATCCTCTTATAAGGAATCAGAGTTTCATTTCGTAGTTCGTAGTTGGTTGGTGTTTTTTATGGATTACAAAGATATTTGAGTTCTCCTTGAACCAAGTCTGGGTGTGTGAATAGCGGAGTTGTTAGACGAAGGTCGCAGTCGATTAAAAATTTTCATAATCCTTTTTGAAAATAATCTTAGATTTTGAATTATGTTAGTGGAAAATTGATTTGATGTTGGTTAGATATATTTTTTAGTATATTAAGAAATATAAGAAAAATAATTTTAATGCATGATAAAAAGATTTTAATGCAATTTTAAAAAATGAGTTAGTAAAAATTGAATTTTATAATAATAATAAAATAATTTTTAGAGTTTCTACAAATATATTAAATATATAAAAAAGAGTTAATTATAATATAAATAATAAATAAAAAAATATAAAGAAAATAAATTTTCAATTAAAAAAGTCAGAGGGTGTAGTTTATGTTTGGTTAGTAGAAACAGGGGGTGCAGAAAGTAAGACCTTGAATCTAGATATTAGATTTAGGCTCAAACGTATGGGGGTACATAATTGCACAGAGAAGCAAAATTGGAGGGGTACGTGAAGCAAGGGCCCAAGTCCAGATATTGGACTTGGCCTGAAACGCATGTGGGGGTATGATTCCTAATGTTGTAGTAAAATAAAATAAAAACAGGGGGAGTGTAAAACGTAAAGGGGCCTGGCCCAACATTGAACAAGGTCTGTTTGACCAACGTGGGGTTGGCTCAGAGTTATTAGCGTGTGGGGATAATTCAGGGACATTTGATTTTGATCGTGAGGTCACCTGAGGTGGATTCAAAAGCGTTGATTAAAAATAGGAAGATTGGACGGACGTGATCAATAGTTTGACTAAGGGAGCATGGTAAGTATTCGCATGGAGTATAGGGAGAGTTATATATTTAATTTATCCCCTTTTCTCTCTTTTTTTCCCTTCTCTGCTTCTTTCTCTATAATCCCCTTCTCACTAAAACAAAACCTAGAGAGAGAGGCTATAACCTCTCTCTAAAACCCAGGCGACCAGAAATCGCCTTGGCCGCGCCGTCCACCTTGAGCCACCACCAACCACCACCTTTGTCCAGTTTTCCGGTTGACATTCAACCGGAAATTTCAAACCTTCATACCCAACCACTATGACAAACCCGAAAACTTAAAACCCTAAGAAGAACCCTAAAAATGTATGACTTAACCCCAAGAACCCTAAGGGTTCGTGAAGAACCCTAATCTACCCAAACCCAGAAATCTCAAACCCGATGAACCTTAACCATAGGTTAGAACCCTAACCCTAGAAACCCAAAATTTCCAGAAACGCAATAATTAAACACCAATCATGCAAGTATTCAATAATCACGACAATAATTAATAACCCTAAGCTAAGTGTTTTAGGTTACCTCTCCTGCAGTGAAACTGGTCATATAATTTTCCTCCTCTGATTTCTCCTTTGTCTCCTCTTCTAATCTCCTTCCTTTTTGTTTGCAGGTACGTGGTGGAGGCGATGGCTTGGAGGACAGATCTTAGGCTTTCAGAAATTGAAACCATAGATCTCGAGCAAGAAGGATATCTCCACAAGCGTAGAAATCTCCGTTTCCTCTTCTCTCTGTTCTACGATCTCCTCCTCTTTAGAAATAAGGTTAATTTATAGGTTTTAGGTTTTAGATGAATTAGGAAATTTTCTATTGATTAGGCGTTACAATTGTTGATTAGGGTAGATTTTAGAAATTATCGTTAAAAATTATAAAATAGGAAAGATTGAAGATTAGAATTTGTAATTGATTAGATTTGATATTGATTGTAATATAAGGATTTGATTTTATGTTAGAAATTTTATAAGTTTTCAGATCTGTAATTGATATGGTTTTGAAATGTATGATATTTGATTTTGTTCCAAATTTGTTTCTGGATTCGATCTGCTTTTACAAATATGTGTTTCTCCTTTTTTGAATCTATACAATAACTATTTTTTTAGGTTTTGGGCTTGGGTAGTGGTGAGGAACAGGGCGCCACAGGGAACACAATAGGGTTTCAACCCTAATTTTCTTAATTTTGACTTTTGGTCAACGGTTTTCAAAATAATAAATATAAAATATAAAATAATAAAGATACTAAATATAAACACTAAAACAATAGAAACATATATGTTATAAACTGTATATAATAATAACAAAAATAATCATAATAGGAAGTTTAATCCGGTAAAAAAAGAAGCTGATGGGCCTAAAAAAAGTCCTTAAAGGGTTGTACGGATTCAAAATACACCTCTCCTATGAAAACACGCCTCCTTTCTAATCACATAAACCCCTTATC